AACCACAAGGCCACATTCTCCTGGCGTGGGGGCCTGAGCTTCCTCTGTCATAGACAAATGAAAGCTGAGGCTGGGAGCCGGGGTGCCAGGAGAGCTGGGGTGCAGCAGCTTGGCTCAATTTTCCCACACTCTGCCATTTTCCTGATCCCTCCTTGCTTTCTCCCACTTTCTGGATCCTTCAGCAGCAGTTTTTCCAGTGCTTCTGCCAAAACCCAAGACAGCAGTGGATAATTCACTACAGTGTGCAATGCCATTCCAATCTGCCAATGCAGTGTTCCTTCAGAATTTTCTGGAGTCCCAGTTTCCCTTCAACCCTACCCACCCCCCAATCATCTTGGAAGGCACTTCTGAGACAAAATATATTTAATTTGTCTCTTCAACAATTCAACAAGTATCTTGTATGTCTACTATGTGGCAGGCACTGTACCAGATATGGGAGGGAATGCTGGGGTGCATAAGATATTCACCTGTTCTCAAGGAGTTTGGGTGCAGTGGGAAGCTCAGACATGCATGAAAGTGAGGTGAAAGGCAGACCCAGATGAGGAAAAGTTGATTCTGTGTCTGAGACTCGAGGAAGGATTCTTATTAGTGAAGTTTGAGCTCAACTATGAAGAATGAATGGGGGCTCACAGGTGAACAAGGTAGGAAAGCTCTTCCACACAGAAAACAGCATATGCAAAGGTCTGGAGGAAATTTTCTGGAATCTGTGGAAATAGGAGCACTGTCTAGAAGGAGGGCTGAATATTAGCTGATGGCTGAGGCCAGTGTCAAGGGAAGATAACACTGGAAAAGTAACCAAGACCAACTGACTCATACGTACAACTGTTTTCTACTTAGCAGACATAAAGCATCTAGCATGTGCCAGTCATTGCTATAAGTGTTTCACAAATACTAACTCATGTAGTGCTTCTAACAACCTGATTCTGAGATTTATTTTTTAGGGGCAACAGAGGCATGGAAAGGATAGTGATTTGCTCAAGTTCACTCAGTAAGTGACAGAGCTGGCTGAGATTTGAACCAAGGCATGTGAAAAGTATCAATCCTGAAGCAAACGTTGTCATACTTTTATTAAGTCCATTATTGTTCTCTACGTGCCTAATAGGCACCGGGAATAAAAATGGCTCATAGCAAAACACACATCGGAGAAAAGACAACATCTTCAACCACTGGTGCTGGGGAGACTGGATATCTACATGTAGAAGAATGAAATTAGACCCATCTCTCACCTTCCCCAAAATCAGTTCAAATTGGATTAAAGAACTTAACGCAAATACCTGAAACTTTGAAACTATAATGCAGAGAAAATACTTCAAGATACAGGCATAGGGAATGCCTTTCTGAATAGGACTTCAGTAGCTCAGGAAATAATGTATTTTCTCCTAAAAATCTTCCTATAATTCTAGATCAATTATTTTCTCTTAGAATGTTGAAGATTTTGTTCCATTGTCTTCTGGATACCATTTTACTGGGGAAAAGTCAACCAATTGACTTTATATTAATTTATCCTTACTCTGGTTATTTTTAAGACCTTTTCATACTTTTCAATGTTCTTCAGTTTCACCACCAAAGAATTTTTTATAGTGGTATAAATTCATTAGGCTTCCTCAATTTGAAGTACCAATTCTAAACAAAGTTGTTATCTCTAGAGAAAATGCCTTTCTTCAGCTAGAAATGATGATATCACAGATGTAGGAAGAATAGTGCATACTAGCCAGGCACCAGTGGCTCATGCCTATAATTCTAGCTACTCTGTTTGAAGCCAGCTGCAGGCAAATAGTTTGGGAGAACCTATCTCAAAAAAACCCATATAAAAAAAGGCTGGCAGAATGGCTCAAGTGGTAAGAGTACCTGCCTAGCAAGCGTGAGGCCCTGAGTTCAAACCCTTGTCACACACACACAAACACACACAAATACTGCTTACTAAAGGCTGGAATGGTAGAGAGGGTGAGGGGATAGGTCTGTTTACAAGTACAAACCCAGTCAGAGTAAGTTCCAGTGTATCATGACACAATAGGGCGACTAAAGCTTCCAAAATAGTTGAAAGATAGGGCTTTGTTCCCAACACAAAGAAACGATACATTTGAGGTGATCGATGTATATGCTAATTACCCGGATTTGATTATTATACATGGTATACATCTATTGATGCTCTACCAACTGAGCTACCTAGGCTCTGGTATACATCTATTGAAATATCACATTGTACCCTATAAATATGTAAAAGTTAAAGAAAGGGCAGGGGATGTAGCTCAGCAGAATTGTGCTTTCCTGAATCCTCAGGCCTCTCTCAACACCTCCCCATAGCCTCAGTGGCACATCCAATGACTTGACTGTGTCACTTACTGTCTCAAAGACACTTCTGAAATAGACAGTGGGCACCCACCTGTCCCATGAGTGCCGAGACAGGATTTAAACATTGTTAGAACACTGTAGAATACTATGAAGGCACTGCTAATGTAATCATAAGACTTAATTATAAGCACCTGTTTTCATTTTTTCTTTAAAGTGTGCTGAGATGTTGGGGACTGGGGCAATTTGACTCCTTAATTGACAGCTCTTAGTGTCTTCTCTGGCACCCTGGCAGATTTGAATGAAGGCGCATCAGCCAAACAGCCAGCCGGACTGCCCTTGTGCCAGCACAACTGTTTGAACACTAACTGAACACATGAGGAGGTGACAAACCAAAATGTTTTCTGGGCACTGTCCCAGAAAACAGCCTGCATGGGACTTTTTGCCATTGCAAATCTTGGAACTCTAGATGACCCTTTGTATCTACCCAGGCCAGCATGGGAGCACTTCCCCCTATGGCCCAACAGACCTATGATTGGTGTAAACATAGCCCCTCATTTGCATGAGTGGCCTGCTGTGATTGGTGCACCCTTGTCACGCCCTCCCCCAAACACACACTGGCTATATAAGCGGGCTGCTCAACTCAGAAATGTTTGTTATGTGTATATGTGTATGTTCATTAAAGTGATGCAATTAATCATAAAATTAATCAATTTTATGCAATTCTTTTTTACTATAGTACAGGTTGTGCAAACATTCCACTGTCCAATTCCAGAACATTTTCATCAACTCCAAATAAAACCCCATCCTTGTGAGCAATCATTCCCCACCCCTAATCCCCGGCAACTTCTGTACTTTCTGCTTCTATGGATTTGCCTATTCTGAACATTTTGTAAATGGCATCATTCAGTATGTGGCCTTCATGTCAGCTTGCTTTCACTTGGCATCATGCTGCAAGGCTCAGCCAACACATTTTTATTTTATGGTCAAATGACATCACATTGGGCATACCAACTGACCACTCACCACCGTCCACCTGTGGGTATTGGGTTGTTTCCAGTTTGGAACTGCTATGAATAATGCTATGCTGAACATTCATGTCCAAGTATTTGAGTACTCGTTTTCAGTTCTCTTGGATATTTAACTAGTGGAATTACAGGGTTATAAAGTAACCTAATATTTTGCTTTCTGAGGACCAGCCCACCTTTACACAGTGGCTGCACCAATCTGCACGTCTATCACAATGTAGGATTCAGGTTTTGTTGTAGTCATCTGGATTTTGATTGCAGTTCCTTAATGACAATGATATTGAAGTTTGTTTTTTTTTTTTTTTCCCCTGGTGGAACTGGGGTTTGAGATCAGGGTTTCACACTTGCAAAGCAGGTGCTCCATAACTTGAGCCACAACTCCAGTCCATTTTGCTCTGGTCATTTTTTGGAGATGGGGGATCTCTCCAAATATTTGCCTGGCTAATCTCAAGCCACAGTCCTCCTGATCTCAGCCTCCCAAGTAGCTAGCATTATAGGCGTGAGCCTGGCAATACTGAGCATCTTTTAATGTGCTTCTTGGCTATTTGTATATTTTCTCTGGAGGAAGGTTTATTCAGATTCTTTGCCCATTAAAAAAATTTGTCTTATTAGTGAGTCGCAAGAGTTCTTTATGAAGGCCAGATTAGCTCAGTGGTCAAGCACTTGCCTAATGTCCAAGGCCCTGCTCTGGATCTCCAGGATCCCTTTATATTCAAGATACTAGACCCTTTTCACAAACGTAATTTGTGATTCCATTCTGTGAGTTGCCTTTTCACCTACTTGGTAGTGTTCTTTGAAGTAAAGCTTTGAAAATGGATACAAATATTTTTTTCTTTGATGGCTTGTACTCAACATAATATGCAAGAGTATGAAGATTGGCACCCACTTTTCTTCTGAGAAGAATGTCTTACATTTAATTTTTGTCCCATTTAGTTTCTGTCTGAAGTCTGAGGAAAGGGCCCAACCTCATCCTTTTGCATGTGGATATGCAAGTGTTCCAGCATCATTTGTTGAAATGATTACAAAAAAGATCCCATTAGAAACCTTGCAGTGAAGAATCACAGAAACATTGCAAATGTGTTAAGAAATATTAGTTTTATTTAACCAGTCTTCACAGCTGAATATTCTATAAAAACTTTACAGATTTTACAGCTTATATATAGTTCAAACTACTGAACGAAAAAGTAGGTCCCACAGATGCAAAAATACTGTACCAATCAATCCTAAGTAAAGGCAGATTTACATACTGTACAGCACTCCACGTGGCTGGGAGGTGGTCAGTTCTAAGTATAAATTTCAAAACTGTACAAAAATAAGGTTTTGATTTTCATTCTTCATACATTCAATATGATTGCAAGCCCAGAAGCCTAACGAGTAGCAGGCATCTGTAGTCAGGAATCAGTCTCCGCTCCTGAAAGGACTGCTGGGTCCATCTGCACAGGGCACTCTTGGGCACTACGCTGTCCTCAGCAGAGATGGAGACGAGAGCAGAGACCAAAACATTACATTTCCAATATAAGGTAGTTCTCTTTTGTTTGGAAAGGAGTTTCTGTATTTAATAGTGTGCCAAAAGAATTTTAACTTATTAAATAAAATATATTCTAAGTGAACCTAAAAATTACATTTTATAAACATAAAAATACTTTTTTTGGTGTAATACATCAATCATATCTGTAGACAGAAAACCAAGATTGTATATGAAGTAATATTTCTCACCCAGCAACAAGAAGAACTTATCTAGTTATTTCTCAAAAGGGTCAGAAAAACTATTTGGAACTTACTTATAACTTAGCTATTCAGTGATTCACTAATACTGCAAAGTAAATTTTCTTCCAGACAGTGGTTTCTTCATGTTAACTGGGTGAGAACCGCACATACTTGAACAGGAGAATCAATTGACACTGCGGCATGAACCCTAAGTGCATGTTTGGATTTTTCAACAGAAGCATTTTTTCTAAAGGGTAAGTCTTAACTTATGATTTAGAATTCTCATCACTGAGGTATTTGTACCTCCCTCCTTGGAGAAGACAAAAAGTATCTCAGAACTTTTTCTATCTCAATTTGAGGACGGGAGGAGAGGCTGGCCAATACCCCTATAGACTCTGTGTTCTAAAAGGAAAACAATGAGGAAAACAAACATTGTTTCAGACTTTTGTTACCCAAAATGAATAAAACACAATTAAAAAAAAATACAGTACTAGCCAAAGAAAACAAAAATTAGAGCTTCCAAGAGCAGTCTAGGGCTCACCATTACACTTTACATTTGTGAGTATAAAATAATGACGTTTGGACAAAGGAGCTTTGTAGTTATTTATTTTAAAGTTACAGTACTTAAAAAACTCCTCGGTAATAAATAGCTTGGATGTTTCCAGTCCTGCTTCCAAGCGTGAGCTAAGGGTGGACTTGTTTCAGGCTGTGAGGACGGCCTGTGGGAACTGGGAGCCACTGATGTCCTGCTCAAACCAGTCATCTGCATGCAGCTGCCCGTCAAAACTCATCAATTTTCCTCTGCAAGTACTTTAACATGGAATCCATGCCCTGGGCTGAGCCCCAGATCTTCTTCAGAACCTCGCACTCCCTCTCGTTGGCCTGTTCCAGTTCCATCTTCATATTACAACGCACCAAGGCCTTGGACTCCTCCAGGACCTGCAGCAGACAACACAGAGAATTAGCAGTGGGCTGAGCTGCTCCCCCACTGCTCCTCACAGGCACAGAGGTATCAATCAAATTTGAGTCATGTTAAAACACTCAACAGATCTTTTTTCACATGTCAGGTCTGTTACACATAAAGTACAGTTGGCCCTTTTTTTTTTGTTTTTGCTATCTGTAGCTTCTGCATCTGTGGCTTCACCATATTTGGATTGCAAATATTCAGAAAAGAAAAAAAAAACCTTGTCTGTACTGAACCTGCATAGGTTTTATTTCTGGTCTTTATTCTCCGAACAATACAGCATTTACATCGTACTAGGCATGTAGAGATGAGGCATGTAGAGATGAGTCGAAATATAGGGAGGGCGAGTGGAGGATGCAAATACCATACTGCTTTACGTAAGGGGTGTAAATGAGCATCATGGATTCTGGTATGCATTGGGGCAGCCCCTGGAACCAGTCCCACCCCCACACCCCGCAATGGATCCGGAGGGATGGCTATGTATTTCACACTCGATGCTGCACACATTCCCAACTTCAAAATGGCTTGTAAAATGTTCCAAACAAGCTGGGTTATCGCACAATGGCCCTCACCCACCACTGGACCAGCCTTGGACCCAGCACAACAGTTATAGGCTGGACATCCACTTCACTGATGCTCAATGACAACTATGACAGGGGATTGTTTACACAAATCTAATTTTACTCATGAAAGTTGTTCGCATGTCTGCAAAGGTTAGGTGACAGTTGTATCAGTTAATAGGAAACATTTCATCCTGTAACTTGCTAAATGCAATTTTGTTAGAAGACTGATTATTTGGCACATCTAAACAAAAAAACAAGGTCCAGGCCAGGTGCTGGTGGCTCGTACCTAGAATCCTAGCTACTTGGGAGGAAGACTGAGGTTTGAGGTCAGCTGGGGTTATAAAAGTGAGACCCTATTTCAAAAATAACAACACAAAAAAGGGTTGGTGGAGTGGTTCAAGTGGTAAAGTGCATGCCTAGCAAGTGTTGAGGCCCCGGGTACGTACGTACACACACACACACACACACACACACACACACACACACACACACAAAACAAGGCCCACTGAGCGTAGGAACTAAACCTGTGTGACATGAAGGGGCTGTGCAAACAGTAGAGAGTGGTTTCAGTGCTGGTTGTTGTAGAACCTTACAGGGAGTGTTAAGGTACTGAATTTCATCTTGGAGTCCACTCCTCTACTTCTTGGGTAAGCATAGAGGAGGACCAGATGGGGACACGTGGAGTGTGGCACTGTTTGTGAAAGTGGCTCTGTGGAGAACAAGTGTGCAGGAAAAGGTGATGTTTTTAAAAGAGACAATACATGAAAGAACCAACAAGACGTACAACTTGGTTACATGTGGCGAGTTCCTTGATTCGAACCATAACTTCCTGGGTGAAGGTCCCTGGCCAGAACACCTGGGAGACCAGGCCCTTGCCACACGCCTCCTGCGCCGTCAGCTTCCGCCCACTCAGCAACATTTCATTTGCCTGAAAGGAAGCAGAGTGATGTGATGTGAAACCCCAGGGGAGACAGGCAGAAGAAGTCCTGTCTTGAAAACTCATACTCAAAATCCACACTGAGGATGGACGCTTGCAAACCCCAGAACCTGCTGCACATCCTCTAGAGCTACTGGCATGCCCTGTGTGCAAGGCAGATGGGAAAGTAATAAATAAACTGGGTCAGTGATAAAAAGAAAGCTAAGGTTTACTTTATGATGCAATTTAGAATCATGTGGACTCAACAACGAAACACAAATTACAAAAAGTCTACTTTGTGGTCAACGTGGTTATTGGTAGAACGATCTGCATTCCTCCTGCTAATGCCAGCCTTTCTCCATGTGAACTCATTTAATATGCAAAACAATCCTGAGAAAATGAGCCGCAGAAGGGTAGATAATGTAATTTTAAAGAAGTGAACCAGGCAGAGAACAACAACGTGGTATTTTCCCTATCTGAGAGAGGTGGCTTGTTGTTAATACACAGAGACATTCTCAAGAGAAAAGACTGGCCTGTTCTTTTTTTTTTTTCCCCTGAAGCTTTATCACGGATTTATTTCAGTGTAACAGGATTAAGTCGGGAGAAGAGGGGAGAAAATGGGAGAAATGTTTCCTGCTCCCCATGCAGGAAGTGGGAGTAAAAGACTTGGTGGCTTGCAGTTGATACAGAGATGACAATGCTCTAGAGAGGCAAAGTTGGCTTGTCCTTGGATCAGAGACAATGTGGCATGGATGTCACTGCTGGATGACATCTTAAAGGCTGTGGATATAAACATGAGAAATTACCCAAGACCTGGACATGCTGCTGATTACTGTGAGTAAGAGGGTCTGTGACTTCCCATGCCTCGATGGAGAAAGGGTTTAACCTGATTTTGTTTTAAAAATGTCTGTGTGGATACATGTAAAACTGATTTTAGCGCTGTCCTGGATTCTAGGTCACTTTTCAAGTCTTGGCACAAGTTATCTGGATCTTACATCATTTGAGGCAGGGGAGACTGACACAACAAACTGCCCCAGACTGACATGGTGACTTGTGTGTGTTCCTTGTCACGGCTGACCTTCCCAAGTCCCTGATGGTCCTGGAGACTGGACCAAGAGCTTCTGGAGTGCAAGCAAACCTACTGCTAGTATGTGACTCCCTTCTCTAGATGTAAAACCATTACAAAAAGGCCCTGCAGTGACCAAGTGCATCCCCCAGTTCTTCTGTGATGCAATGGTGCCACTCACAGCATGGGAAGCACATATGCACAAAGTGGAGAGCACACAGCAAGCTAGCAGCAGGTTCGCTGCCCTTGTAACAAAGACAGAGACAGCAGGGGTGGGGGACAGGCATCTGTTCTGAATCATCACCCAAAGGTCAGCCAGCTATTTGAGCACAGCCTTGGTCAAGGCCATGAGCAGGTAGAGTCTGGAATGTTCTGTTGAAACCCAGGCTGATCAAGCAGCCCCTTCTCAATGAAAGGATGGTCCATAAATAACATGGAATTTAGGATAACTTAACTTTGTGGGCTGCTAATGGCTCTTCAAGGCAAATTTGAAGGGAGTGAGGAGGATGACTGAACAGGGGCCTGGTGCCTGTGCAGTGCAGAGTGCTCTAGGACAACTCCATCTTCCTGTCCTAGGCCATGTTCTTTCCTTCTTGATACACACTGCACACCACACCACACCTGTCCCTCATGTCAAGAATGAAGCATGTCCTCAGGCAGTGAGGGACAATGATGTTCCTAGGCCCAATGAACCAGGTAAGTAGCGAAGAGCCAGCATTCCTGGGCACTGCTTCTCTCCATCTCTAGCCTCCCTAGTCACTTATTATTATTATTTTTTTTTTCCTCTTTTTGGTTTTTCTGAGACAGGGTCTTGCCAAGTAGTCCAGGTTGTCCTGAAACTCATGATTTTTCTGCTTCAGCCTTCCAATTACCAGGATGATAATAACCAGGTGGATGTGTGCACCACCACACCCAGCCTCAGTCACTCTTTGCACGTTATTTTCTGTCCTTTGGAGGTCAGATGACAGCCTCAACACTACTCTCTTCCATTTACCTCCCTTTCATTCCTTTTCCTCGCTCTCTCCACCTGGGCCAATCAGAGCAGCTCTTCCTCTGGCCAGCACACAGTCGTGGTGCCCATCTTCCTCCTCCCAGCCTTGCTGGCTCCACACCTCCTTATTACTGGAGTCTTTCTGGACTGGGGTTTCTCTCTTCCAGATGACTGGATGTGCAGAACAACCAAGGACACTTCTGAATTTACCCAATGGTGTGAATGACAGGACTGACCCAAGGTTGTAATGCTTTCCTGCTTAAACACAGGCAGTGGGTCGGTTTAAACTAGAGGCATCAAAAAACCAAACCAAACCAAACCACTACTAAGGAAAACATTTCCCTGGTCAAATAAGCAGGATTAAACATGCTCAACTGGAGCCCATTCCTGTGCACACAAATTTCAAGTTTTTAAACGGGGATTCTGAACTTCTACATAAATAACTGACCTGCAAGAGGCAGTCTCTGGGATATTCACTACTTGCAGACTGACTACAACATGGTCAAAATTTTCTAAGTGTTCCTCAAAAGTTAGAATGTAACCATCTGGGCAAATGAGAAATGGCAGAGGAAACTGAAGTGGAGACCTCTTAGTTCAGTCAAAAAGGTGCCCTTAAGGGGGGTGAAGGGTGTCAGGGGCTCTGCCACTTGCTCCCTGGGGTCTCCATGTTCTGCAGGAGAGAAGCTCTTGTGGGTTAACTCTGGGAAGGGTATCAGTCATTTGCTGGGCACTTGGGCCACACACCTGAGCAGGATGTGAGTGGGGCCTTTATCAATCTGGGTCACCCAGAGTCCACTGAGGCTCCCCAGGGCTCAGATGCAATGCCCAGAATCCTTTCCGAGAGTGTTGGCTTGTGGTGCGAGGGTTGGAGGAGTCCTTGAGATGGGACCATGATTTGTAGGGTGCCTGGTGCACAGCAGGTGATCTGTGAATGTCCACTGGGGACAAAAAGCTCACACAGATTGTCTCCTTACAGGTGCTTTTATTTGGTATCACCACCCCTCCAGCTGACTCTCCTGGCAGAGTTCTGCACACCCAAGTGGGAAAAACAAACTCATTCCAGTCTTGCCTCCAGCTGTCGAAGGCTCAAATACACCAGAAGCTCATGAAAGGAAGGGCATTGTTTGGGTCATCTCTTTCCATAAGAGCTGTCACAGTATAGGTCTTTGGGGTTAGCAAACACCTGCTCACACAGTGCAGATTTATGTCGTGTGCAGTGCAGCATCTCACTCCTGTGGACAGCAGGCTTCTCATCCAGCGTGGGGGACATCTGGGCCAGGTAAGTGGTGTGGGACTGTCCTGTGTGCTGGAGGATGCGGAGGGCGCCCTGGCCTCTACTGACCCACATTTCACATGTCCCCTGGCTGTGAGTCAAAACCACCCAGTTGGAAAGAGCTGCGCAGTAGATTCCAATGACTGCTCAGGACTTGTCTACGGGGACAGGACTGACCAAGGCGTAGGTGACCATCCTGCAATGACCTCAAGCCATTTATGAGTCTTCAAAAGAGTTCCACTGCCGATAGCACTTGGCCCAAGAGCTCCATTTCCAAGATGCCTTTGCCCAAAAGGTGTCTGACTGTCCAAGTTTACTTACTATTTCCCTCAGGTCAGCCCCTCCTGCCCTGATCACCATACATCTACACAGATCCTACAGCAGGAGAGAACTGGACAAGTAACTAACAACGCACTTAGCTGTCCTGGTGAAAAGGGTTCTGCGCTGCCAGATTTGGCAGTAACTGTTAGCCAACAACCTACTTCAGTGATAACTCACAAGGAACTCAGAAGTGTGTTTCCCGACAACGACTACCTGGAGGTAGGTAGTGTCAGGTGGCACAGCTCAGCAAGGACAAAACAAAACAGATGTGGCCTCCACATCTTTATCTGGACAGTGTAAAGCACTGTGTGGGGCAGACACAGATCTGCCCCCAGCCCAGGAATTGCTCACTGCCCAGGATGTGGGCGTGCTGGTGGCAGTTAACTAGGAGCTCTTCGGGTGGCTTGACCTGGGCATGGCTTTTGGAGGCCTCTGTGCCCAACAGCCACATGCAGTGGGGTGCCTTGAACAACTGAGACCACAGAGTGCCTGGACTTCCCCGAGGGTTGCTCAACTTTGCCCTCTCTCTGCCCAACCCTGCTTCTTCCTGGCTCTTCCACAAATGCAGACACCTAAGCCAGCAAATCCATTTGGCTTTCAGAGAAACTGACTTGTGATGGGGGGAATGGAGAGAAAGAAGGTGAGGAGAGGGAGCTAGGAGCTGGGGGCTGGATGGCTCTCTAGATGGCAAGGAGGCCCCTCAGGGTCAGATAGAGCACTAATGGAACCTGAGAGAGCAGAGGAACTCCTTGTAGCCAGGATACAAATAAAGAGGCTCCTGAGGAGTAAGGAAACCAAGGGATGAGCCCCCACCCAGCCCTAGACTTTTCAGCTGGAGTGGCCAAGCCCCACACAGAATGAATCATATGCCGTTGGAAGGTCTGGCAAACTATGGCAAAGAGGAGGCAGACACCTTAAAACTTGGCATGTGGACACATGGCATGTCCTCAAACTTTGAACCTCATACTTGGACCCTGTTTGCCATAGAAATGGCCCACCTGTTCCTACTTAGAACAAACAGTGCCCCTACTGGAAGACAGCGTGGATATTCTCTAGCTGCAAGAAGACAACACTCCTGGGACCTGCCATTTCCTCCGTCTAAAGGATTGGGAGGACCAGCCAGACAGTGCTGGTAGGACTTTGGACGACTCATGGGCTGGAATTCTTGGGACACTGACTCAGGGCCTGACTGTAGTGCTGGACAGGGCAGCCACTGACTTGGGAGCACTCCCAGGACACCAATTTAACTCCCCAGGCAATGATGTCACCTCGATCCCAGGGATTCTGGGAAGGAGAAATTAGCCCCTACTGAGTAGAACTGGAGGTCAGTGGCCGATCATGGAGGGAACAGGACAGGATGCCATGTAGAGCTGTGGGGAGTGCACAGGGCTCCTAGTGTAGTCCTTGAGGCATGGAACAAGGCCAGTTGTCCTCAGTGAAGAACTGACTGGGGTGTGCTGGAGACAGGCTAGTGGACATCAAGTGATCACACGTTGGAAACTCTACTGTGAGTTGAGTTCCATCAGACCTAGAGGTGGGCAGAGCTAGCAGGGTGAGAAGATGTGTACACATTCCAGGAGGCTCAGGAGCCCAGGACCCCATCATCTACTAAACAGGTGGCCCTGTGTCACAGGGGCTCTCTGTGACTGAGTGTGGCTGTACAAGCTGAAAAGGGGGTGTTCAACTTCACTGGAGCCTCACCTGTGCAATGATAATAAAAGAAGCGGAAAGGAAAACGCCTCAACCGGATGGAGGCTGCCATCTACCTTGTGAAGAAGCAGCAGGTCCCTAGGTTAACATGCCATATACCATTATATATATATCATAAAATTATCACTGATACCGCATTATTCAGTAGATCACAAACCCTGAACCAATCTTGCCATTTCCCCACTCTGCCCTCCTCTGACACAGTATCCCAGCCAGGGTCCCATCACACCCTGATCTCCTCCATCCTTGGTGCTCCTGAGGGGCACTGCTCGGCACTTGCAGACTGCCCCCCTCCCTAGTTGGAGCTGGTCTGAGGCTTCCTGGTGACTAGACTGAGGGTTGCTCTCTGGCAGGAGTCCCATGAGCGATGGAGGCTATGACCATCTCAGTGTAACTCATCAGGGGACACTAAGGTCAACAAACCTTACTTCTGCACCCTGCCCGCTCAGTGAGGCTGTGCCAGCTAGCTTTCTCACTGCAGTTACTCTGGCCCTCTGCCCGCACTGAAGAGGTGGATACCCTTCTTCTTCTTCATCACAGTCTTACTCATCTTAACATTCTCTGGTGGCTTCGCCTGGAACTGTTCTCACTGTCTAACCTTCTTCTCTAAGTTCCTCCAGGAAGAGAGGCTCCTGGAACCTGGAGGAGCTGCTCCCCATGTGCATGAGAAGGTGGATCCCAGAGACACAGGGGGGCTGTGGCAGGCAGAGTTGTGAGCTCCCTCAGGACTTCCTCAGCTGCAGAGAGCCACCTCACCTACTGGCACAGTACTCTTCCTTCATCCCACGCAATGTGGACAGACATGACGCAAGCAGCCACGCCAATACACTTGGACAGGCCACAGGCACTTAGAACTTGGAGAGTGTGTGTGTAACAAAAGCATGCACACAGCCTGACCTCTCCCTCTGTTCAGTCCAGCTTCCTCCCTGTCCCGTCAAAAGGGACCAGCTGAGACTTCTCTTCCATGTCAAACTCAGAGTCTGCAATTTGGACAGTCCCACCCGTGCACTATCTTTCACTCTATTTCAAGAACTGGGAAATGTGGTCCACGTAATTTCTTGCTAGGTCATAAGCTACAATGCAAGCACAATGTATTATCACGAATGGGTTTGTTTAAACAGTTAAAACTAAAGGGAAGCTTTTATGTTACTAGGTAAAGAGCTTTTTGGTTGCAAACTCTGTCAACTGAATTACAAGCTGGGTAATTACTGACCGTGGATATCAGTGTTAATTATGCAAAGATGCAGGCTCCTCATGAACAGGGTTGTTCTCTAGGGAATGATGCACAGCATATCATAATCCTTAGTCCCACAAACCAAACTCTGAATTCCAGGTGTATTTGATACAAAGTCCCCATACAATGACATGCTATGTATATTATACAGAACCAACCAGATTTCTTTAGGATGTTGTCTAGAACAACAACAACAAAAACAGTACTCACAGATGGTCCTCCCATAATTTTGGGAAACATAACGGTAGAGCAGCCATCTGGACTCTGTCCGAAGGTGGTATAGGGTGTTTGGAACCAAGCCTTTTCATTAGCCCAAACCACATCACAAAGAGGCAATATGGATGCTCCTAGTCCAATGGCTGGGCCATTAACTGCTACAATAATAGGCTTCTTGAACTGAATGAAAGTATTCACGAAGTTTCTAAAATGAAAAATAAATGGGGAATTACTGAAAACATTGCATATTTGAGCAGACAAAAAAAAATCTATTATGGAATTCAATTTACCAAGACATAAACTCTATAAATCACTAAGAGATGAGATCATTAAGGCCTTTTCCCAGAAGTAGTGGACCATGGATATATTTGCTGCATGTTGTAAAGGCTTAACCACAAGTCGGACACCGTGCATGGGGTGGCTGTTGCAACAGGGCCTACGGGAAGGTTCTAGGTGATGCAGCAAGAGGCTACTCTTGTATTTGCAGGTGGCCCTTGGGGTCTCTGACCTGTAAATCTTATTCCTCAACCTTTTCTCATTGGAAGACACCAAGGAGCCTGCTGACATTATGGGCTTCGTATGACCAACAAAGGAGCAAACCCCAGAGGAAAACTGTCCTGGGTCACACTGAGGCTGCCTGGTACTGACCAAACAGCAGTAGACTGGAGTCAGAATGCACAGGTCTGGTCCTGGCCTTGGTACATGGATTCTGACAGTTCACTAGTTATCTGGAAACAAAAGATATTTCCTGAATTTATGCAAACTAGACTGAATGACCTTGGGGATATGGAGTCAGCTGTTTTTTAAGATATGAGGTTGGCAAGTAAGATGGGCAAGCACCCCAAGTCCCATGCATGCACCCCCATTGCATGCTGGTAGTTCCCACCACAGTGGGAGCTCAGAGGAGAACAAGGCAGGAGGGGGTGGTATTCTCAGAGGACCTGACTTCTGTGCCCTGTTGGGGTTTATTTTAAGATCAAGGTTGGGAATGTAGGCTACTTTTCAGATCTGGGGAGACTGGTGCCACACCATATTGTGAATGTGCTTTTTCCTCTTGATCCCAGAAGCTATGAGTTCTGAGGCTGTTTCTCGTTATGACTTAATATGGTGGAGCAGAAAGGCAAACACACACCACCCACAAGTGCTGAAATAAAGATGGGGGATTCCTTTTAGGCAGTCTGAGTTCTGGATCAGAACTGCAGAATAACTGCAGCCTTTCACAGACTGGGTTCTAAACCTGAGCCCATCGTTAGTACTGAAAATGGCTGCCCACATGTTCTCTTGTAGACCGGGGGAGAGAGGGCAGGGCAGAAAAGTGAGGGGGGAGGTATGTGAGGACCACAGGAGAGCAGAGGCTGCATATTCAGCAGCTTTTCAAAGGTGTAGTCAGAGAGGCTGATTCCAAGGCCATCAAGGTTTGCAGGATCTTTGCACTGAGCAAGAATTAATTCATTCAAATGAATGAGCAGCACTGAGACATTCCAAATGAGAAGGCTTGAGATGCTGTTAGAAAGATCACACCAGGGTTTAATGATACAAAGAGAGCCAGACAACTTTTTAAGCACACTCTTGAAACGTGCTTAGAGAAACTCAGGAAACTGCTCCAGTCTCACTGCCTTCTGGGGATGTGGGGTCAATGACAGGGCATGGAGATACTTTTCCTATGCCCAGGTACCCACACCTCTTAGAAAGGCACCTGCTGAACTGGTCTCCAGGATAAGCAGCGGGTGTGGTACATTAGTGTGGAAACAGCGATCAAACTATTGCAATGAAATGATCGTATAAAGAAATAGTGAAAGAAATTAAGAGTCATGTAATACCACTCTCTTCCCATGTATTTGTATAAAGCAAAAATCTGCTCCCAAAGTCAACGATAAAAAAAAAAAAAAAATCAAACTAGGACTTTAACAGGCTGGAGAATTGTTTTTCTTCTCTGTTTTTGCCTGGACTAACACTGTCAACTGAAACTGGCTCTTTCTGGGAGGGGTCTGAATTCACTGCACCCTGGAAGAAGATCTTCCCGGCTCAGAGGGCAGTGCCATGCCAATGCACCAGCTCCAAAATGCCAGATAAAACCTGGTCTGCACAGAAACTCAGTTTGCTAAACCAAACAAAATGATCTCCCCCACAACCCCCAAACCTCTGTAGAAATGCCCCGGGCCACAAAGGCCTAGTCATGTAGCAAATCAAGCTACAGAGGCCGAGGCAGTGATGGCCCTCAGGCCTGGGCTGGAGTCCTTGGCAGCCACTGCCAAGCCGGGTCTAAGCTTGTCCTGGGTATAAAAAGCAGGTGTATCTTAAAACCTGAACTCAAACCCCGTGAACACTCAAGTATGTGCAGTGCAACTACTGACTTTGCGCGTCCCTTCAATTGCTGGTGCTGGGCGTGCAAGGGAGGGATACTTGGCACAAAATTAGCTTTAAAAGACGCAACTAAGGAGAATCCTCTTGGGAAGAACGCTTACTAATCCAGACATCAGAAAGTTAGAAACTCATGTAAGAGTGTAGAAACTCTTGTTGAAAATGAGGCAACAAGCACCTGAAGATTTCATACAGTTCACTGCCTTTTTTCAGCTGAGTTACTCAGTTTGACTGTCTGGAATAGGAAGGAGTGAGTGGGGAAGGGGCAAGTTCCAGGAGCAGCAGCTCGTTCACTTGCTCCAAACCTTCTAACCCGGGAAGTGCTGGGTCAGAGCTCCTCTGTCCCTGACCCCTCTGTCCTGGGACAGGTGCTGGCTCCTGTTCTCACAGACTTCAAAAGCCTGGTGCTGCAAACAGATTCCTGATCATTCTACCTTTACCATGATGGAACTGCCTGTCCTAGGCAGCTTACAGCCCAGTGTTTCATCCAATGTTCCTCCTTCCCACCTTCGTTTTGGAAATTTGCTGCAACGAGGTCCATTGCCTCAAAGTTTTAAGGAATTTGAGATAAGACACCACAGAAACAATGAACAAAAAATACATAGAATAAGGGCTGCTGTAAGTCTCTCTTAATCATATAAAATTAATTTAAATGCAAATGAGCAAGAGAAAGTTAGTGAATCTGGTGTAAGTAACTACTTTTATGATACTGCCATAGTATATTAAGAAAAATTCACATTGAGAAAAATGTATTCACTTGAAGAAGAAACACAAAAGTTTTGTGGAAGCAGGGTTTGGCTATTCCTAGTCTTTTGTGGGGAGTAAGGAGAGTAAAAGAGGTTGGGGAGGAGGGAGCGGGAGAAGAAAGGGAATGAGTAGCTGAAGAAAATAAACATTTAAAATTCAAGGATCAGGTCTCTATTTAAAGCTGTCCTGGTGTATCTTTTCTCTGCTTTTCTAACCCCAGCACCACAAGCCTTAGCCACAGTAATTCAACACTGGAGGAAGAAGCGGCTGAATACCAACAAAATTTCTAAACAGGGCCCAAGAAAGCATCTACACGGGAACATGGAGCCCAACTTAGAAGGCACTGCTGCCAAGCCTTGTGCTCTCCTACACAGAGCTACCAAACCATATAATGTAACAGGTGGATTCAGCATGAGCTCACAGAAGACAGTCACCACATGGGGTGTAATGGTGTGTGTATGTAAACAATGAAACTTAAATCCATGCAGCTCATCCTGAGTGGACAGTTAATAGTGAGGAGAATCTACAAGTTGTCTTGAGTGTCCTAATAATGTGACGGGGAGTTAGCATTGACCAAGCAGTTTAATTTCAAACTGAGTAAGATCAGATTATAAAAATTCCACCTATTTCTCAAAAAATAACTCATATGATAGTCTAAAAAGTGTCACTCTTAAAAAGACTGAGCCTCCTAAATAACCTCCTAAATACAAGTGCATATACGCTGAGGACCATCTTGGGAGCCTGTCAAAGAGATGACCTGCCACACCCTAGACCCACTAAAACAGAGAAAGCACCCCAGTCCTGCAGTGCACCTCTAGAATGGTTCAAGGGAGTAGAGGCCAAGAGCCCAATGGCAGGGCTTAGCCTTAGCTAACTGGAGCCCAGAAAGGATCGAAACCTCAGTCACAACTCTGCAAGTACCTGGGGGTGGGAGAGGATCCAGCCACTTTATCGCCGTTGTGCAAGTCTGCAGCTCTTCGTAGTTCATCTTTGTATAAATTAAAAAGGCAATGCAAAGGGTTTTGAGGGGTGCTTAGGGAGGTGACCTTTTAGAGAGGTGTGAAGACAAATTCAAATCTTCCTGATTAGTGACTGGTTTCATTTGCTTAAGAAAAAAACCAACTCACCTCTGAAAAATTAAGCCTTTGAATTATACAGAGTAATTAGCATAACAAAGTATATGAACTACAGATTTAAAAATGCTTACATCAAGAAGGTCAAGGTGACTAGTTAACAACGGATTACAAATTTGAAAATTGCTAAGAAAGGAGACTTTGAGTGTAGTCACCAAAAAAAAAAATGTGAGACAAAGGCGAAGTGTGGTGATACATGCTTGTAATCCTAGTTACTTAGGAGGATCATGGTTTGAGGCCAGCCTGGGTAAAAAGTCTGGGAAACCCTATCTCAACAAATAAGTCTACCATGGTGAGCATGTCTCTAATCCTAGGTAGGTGGGAAGCATAGATAGGAGGATCAAGGTTGGAGACCAGCCCCAGACAAAAATGTGAGAACTGATCTGAAAAATAACTAAAGCAAAAAAAGGGGTAGGGTGTGACTCAAGTGGTAGAGCACCTGCCTGGCAAGCATGAGGCCCTGAGTTCAAAATCCTTGTACCAACCAAAAAACAGAGAGAGGGAGAGGAGAGAGAGAATGGATGTCTTAATTGGCTTGATGTAGCCATTCCACAATGTATAAATATTTAAATACTTTAAGCCATCACAAGTGTACACTGTATAAGTATATACAATTTTTATTTGTCATGTAAAAAAAAAAAGAAAGTATTAAGAGCAAGGTTGAGGAAGACATAGAAGTGAATGGAGGGTTCCTTGGGGCATAGAGAAGGGGGACTTGACTTTATACTGTGTATCCCTAACTCTCAGTGTAGCTGGAACTTAGAATGAACTTAAATAAGAATGTGCACTACTTTTACTAAAATAAATAAATAGAAAACAAAATAAATAAATCTCTCCATGTGACCTTATGGAATTGTCACAAAGCATAGACAACTTATTGAGTCAAGCAGATGGTTAGTTACTGTTTAGAACAGAAGTCTTTCCTCAAGGCTGAGAACTACACGCACAGCACAGGCTTGGGCAGCCTGGCACAAGTCACCAGACCCGGTGCTGTGTCACACACAGAAAACAGCCCCAGTACTGCTGGGTAAATTCAAGCCAGCTCTTGAAAACTCACAAGGTGAGCAGGAATTTATACCAGGCCCCTAGAAGACAGGTGATCAAGGACTTTGCCACTAGCACCTTTATTCTATTCAGGACTGGTAGCTGAACACCAGACCCCAAGTCCAGGGTTCAGACAGCCCGGTTCTGCCTACCTGATTGCGTCTGCCATCTTAGTGCTTTCTCGCTTCCTGTCGTCCGTGAGCCGCCGTATGAAATAAATGAAGTCCAGGCCGCAGCAGAAGACGCTGCCCACAGCGCTGAGCAGCACCAGCTTGCTGTCATCGGCGGCAGCTGTGTTCAGGGCGCTCTGGACTTCTTTCATCACCTAGAAGTCACCACAAGGTCAGGGGTAGACATCTTTCTGTGACCAGCCAGTTGAGACCTACAGGAAACTCACTCCAGCCTTGTGGGGCTTGCTTCACCCACTGGACTGTGAATAATTGCACAGTACTTCTTTTCTGGAACCAGAGATCGGGGTGCTGGGGACACAGTGTGAGTACAACCACCTGACATTCTGAACAGAGGATCATTACAGAGGCCTGTGAATCTACATCACCTGAGTGTTCTGCGGCCATCACGGCTCTCGGTGGCTAGCCAAGCTCCTTACTTATCCCCTGGGTTTTCTACAGTGTGGACAGCAGGTAGCACATTCACCCAGCTCAGCAACTGAGTTCAGTTCCATTTTATTTACTGATCACTTTATTAAAACCTGCCTACCTCACATGGGACAGAGACCTGCAGTGCACTAGCAGAAGCCCAGCGGCCTGGGAGGACAAATGCAGAAGGGCACGGAATCATCAAATCCGCGGAGACCTGGGAAACGAGCATCGAGGGGTCTGCAGTCTGCAGCTGTACGAGGAGCAGCCCTGAGTGCTCGCTGTGTTGACCCTGGCCAGCACAGGCTTTCTGTGTTTGGTTTTTACTCATGGAAACAACTTTCCCAGCTGTGCACAGTGGAAAAAAGCAATGCAGAACTTAAAGCTTTGGCGAGGTGCAGTCCAAGTCCAAACGCTCCTGGCTCTGGTGCCTGCATGGAATTGGCTCCCAGGCCTCTGAGCACCAGTCTCCCTGGTCTCTGTGAGCCACCTTACCAGGAATTATCGACACTGAGCATGCGCACAAAGCCCTGTCACTGAGCTACGAGTGCTGAAGACTGCCCACAAGGATGCTGCGGAACCCTAGGAGAGGCTGGGACCAGGACATCTTTATCACGTGTGACCCAGGAGCCATCAAGAGTCCGATGAGAGCTAAAGAAAACCTGTGCACACACACATTTCCCAGATGACTTTTGGGGCCAGGGATACAGATGAACAGCTCTTGATCTGGGAGGTGAACAAGGACAGAGGTGCTGCTGCCTTTTCCCCTTCTCCTAGTAGGAACCAGGCTCCCACTGGAGAATGGAGTAGATAGCCGGCACACACCCACTCTCCCTATGTCACTTGAGTCAATATAATAAGCAGCCAAGCTGTCATGTCCCCACTGCTTCTGGCCTTCTGGGGGCATTGTGGGCCAGCCCAGAAAGTTTAGGAAGACACAAAGAGCCACTGAGCAAAGCGGGCAGGACTGGGCATGGAGAAGCGTGAAACGCACAGCAGGGCGCATCTCTCACCTCTGGGTTTAGAGAGTTATTCTCTGATGATTTTGTGGATAACAAGATGTGGGTGAAGCCATCTTGCTTCCTGACGACAATATCTCTGTATCTGTAGGCACTCTCTGTCTGCCTCACACTGAAACGCAGCCGCTTGTCAAAAGGCTGGTCTCTTCTGTCGTCAAGAAATTTTCTTTTGCCAGCCGCCACTCCTGTAACAGACGTCTGTATGTTGGCCGTTCCATTGGCTGTTAGCGCATCCATGAATGGAGATGTACCTGCCAAGAGTTTGAAATCACAGTGGTCTGTGATGTCCTGCCACCAGTTCACTCCCAGGGTCACCTCTGAGTTAGACGGAAACACTCACTGCAAACACATGATTTAACCTATCAATGTCAGAACTCTAACAGTTAGATTCCCGACAAAGTCTACTTTAAGGTTATTTCTGTTTTCTTTCCATGTATGACAGGAAACCACCCTCTGCTTATCTGGCCTAAAATATAAAGCTGGAGAGGTACTAGAGGAAGCTACAGAATTGGAGAGCTTTGAAGAAAGGAATTAAAAAGAGAACGAATGGGTCTCACAGAGAGGAGCTGTTGGAGGTTTGACAAATTGAATGGAAAAAAAAGTGATTCAAGAAAATCCTCTTCCCAAAGGCAAGAGGGCTCTGTAGACACACCTGTCTTTGCAGGTGCATGAAGTAGTGAGGTGGGTGCAACTTCAGACCTGGCTCTCGTGAAGCACCTTAGACAGTCAGAACCTCTCCTTTCGCTGCCCAAAAGGTGACTAGTCGAGTGTTCATCCACTGCCTGAAACAGCTACTTAAGTAGTGGAGGATGGCTCTCCGCTCCTCTCCTCCACCACACAAGGTTTCAGCTCTTCAATACCAACCCAGACGCTGCTTTCCAGTCAGTCTTAATGTCTGCTCTCCTGAACATTTCTTTTTTTCTTCTGGTGGTGAGGAATGAATGCAGGACCTGGTGCATGCTAGGCATATACTCTACCACTGAGCTATAACCCCAACCTTCAACATTTTTTATTATATTAAAATCAAGGGGTTCACTTAACAGTTTACTAGAGTTACAAGGTATGTTAGAGTGAGAACTCAAGTATGAAGGCAAGTAATTATCCTATCTATGTGAGCTGTCTAAATAAAATCTATTGTGGCAATGAATAGAGCCTCTGGATGGGAAAAAAGGAAAACCAATGAATGACAATGATGCTGGGCTATGCTCAGGAAATTAGAAATTGGAGGTGTGTGCCCCATTATGAATCTAGAAATATTTTCTCCACAGGGCAATGTAAATAATGTACAAGTCTAATTGGAACTGTCACTATGAATCCCCCACCCCGGGTACAATGAACATACCCTACTAAAAAATTTAATCAAAAAAATTTTTCTCCAAAAAGTGGAAGAAAAAAGCCAAAGCCACCAGAAAGGACTCATACACAGTTATTATAGAGAAGACAATATTCCTGGTAAAACATCTGACTTTCACTCAGTTGGTGGAAATAATACTGTCAATTTTAATCTTTGGAATAAAAAAACCAAATCCAATCTTTTGAAATGTTTAAAGAGGCTATAATACATGCATATGTTTTAAGAGTCTAAAAATATAAAAAGATGTGGTAAAAGCCCCTCTCCCCCGAATCAAGAATCCTTCCAGATTGTCTTTACACTCCAGAAATATGAACATCCATTTTCCCTCTACCTGCTTTTAAAGAACATAAAAGAAAAGCACACTGGGCATGGTGTGCCGGTGCTTATTACTTACATCTTTACACCTTGCTTTACATTCAACAGTATCTCGGAGTCTACTCTAGGGACAGACACCCTATTCTGCTCTACGGCTGCACCCCAGTCTGTTGTGGGGGATGTATCAGAAGTCACTACACTTAAGCTTTTATATTATGGACAATGCTGCAATGAATAACCTTGGCCTTTGTCATTCCAGTGCTGGCAAATTCACAGAGCAAACTCCTAATGATCTGTAACCTGGAGGATATCTAATGACAGAGCATTTGATAATGTTACCTTCCAGGCAGGACTGTTGCTAAATCCTTTTGATAACTGGGAATGATCCTTTCTCTTTCTTTAAATCTTCATCTTCTCTTCTACAGATCAGATCCTCCTCATCTGTTTAAACATTCTTCTGCCCAGAAACCCTCTCTAACCTCTTCTCCTCTGCACCAACCTCTTCTCTCACACCAATCACAGCCTCGCCTGGTCTACTACACTCACTGTCTCAACTTCTCCCTTTTCTCCATCATTGCTTGATCTACTCCAATTCAGACTTAGGATCAATATGGCCAGACAACTTCTGAGTCCAGAGAAGTACCATACTTGAACCTTTGAACCCAAGCGAGCAGGTGAGAGGGGCATCCACAGGGACGTTGGGGAGGAGGAGTAGGAGGAGGACTCAGGGAAGCTGGGTTGGAGGTGAGTATGGGGGGGGGGTTGGTGCCTACAGAGATGGCTAAACATTTTCCAAGGGGCAGCACCACATGCCTCACTTGTGTCCCTCTGTCCTCACTCGAGATTACTCAGTCACATGTTCTCACACCATCTGGGTTTGTACCTACCTCAGGACCCCTGCACTTGCTCTTCCCTCTGTCTAGATGCCCTAGTCCTAGAGCGTCAAATGGCCAGTTTCTTCTGCTCAAGTGCTAGCTCCTGCCCAGTTCCATTGCACATTACCCCTTTTTCTTCATAATACCTTTAAAAGTTATTTTATCCTCATTAGATGTCTATGCATAATATTTATTATCAGGCCTGTGAAATTCACTCATGTATCCCCAGTAAACAGTTATTGAATAAATGAGGCCCCTTTCAGCTCAGATCCCTTGATTTAGACATGAAAACCCAAGTGAACTGCCAGACATCACACTGCTCATAATTCACAAGAGGTGAACCCTGTGGTGCAGAAGAAAATATTCCCCACAGTATCAACTGTGTGAAAACTAAGTGATTCTGTGAACTAACATTTCCTTCAGGACCAGGACTCAGAGCTGACCAATGCTGGTCCATAAACCATAAGCACTAATGTGGCTGGGAAAGAAACCTCTGTTGGTGTCTAGGACAAGTGGTTTTCTTCTAGTGTGTTGCAGAGCAAAGAAGATGCCATCAAACATGGATGTTAACCTGTTAAATATCATGGCTTCAAAAAAGCCTAAGTCTTGGTAAAAATGACTTGTGACACATGCTTGCAACCTTAGCAAGAAACTGTGTGCACAATTCCTGTCTTCTGATGACCTCTAGGAAATGAAGCACTATGCATGCAAGAACTGTATTTAGACATTGGATGACAGGCAAGGAAGGGCTGTATCCCCAGAGTGAAGGGTGCAGACAAGGCATCCAGAGGTGACAGGGACACTGCAGTTGCAAGGAGGGAGCTCAAGTACAGCTAGTGGAAGTGCTGATGAGCACACAAATGACTTTGGGACTGGGGAGGGGAGTCAGGGAACTATAATCGTGGGCCAAGGAAATGGGAAAGGAGGGAGAAATTTCCACAACTGTTTAGGGATCCCCTTGAGCCTTTGCTGAATACCAATCCAAGCATGCATAGGGAGAAAATCTCCAAGTCTGTAAAGGTAGTAACTTCTGAGGAAAGAACAATTCCCAGAGTCCTATCAGTGGGCACTGGGAGTCCTCACTAGTCACAGTGGAGTGACTTCACCCATGGGGCGTTTGGTGGAGACCCCAGAACAGGCACATGTTAGCAGTGAAACTAAGCTAAGCCTGGAATAAAGGATATATACAACTGCACTAACACAGCTTAAAAACAAGCCAGAACAAAGACAACACTTTTAAAAAGCATAAAACAAAACCCAGCACCCTGAACTGTAAAAGTTGTCATTTTCAGTAGCTAACGAGAGGACAAGCAAGATGCAGGAAAGCAGAATCACCAACCAAGATTAAATCTGTGACTAGAAAGAGACCTGAAAATAATGGTGACAGAACTGACAGGAAAGGACATGATCAATGTGAAGAGTAAGGCTGAAGCAATGACTTGAAAATACAATGAGGAAAGACCAGGGGGCACAGCAAGCAGAGGGTCCATGAGAGGGCAGTCAGACCTCCTGTGCCCTGGCAGTCACCACTGACCACACAGATACTCCCTGTGAAGGAGAAGAGACCTCCATGTAACGGGTAAAGACTGAGATATTATTTGCCTCTGGAATCACAGACTCTCTAAAATTCATTCATATTTCCTATTTCTTAGGGAGATACGTTTTTAATAAAGAGCTGTATTTTCACAGTAATGAACTGATCTAACATTGGAAACTTAAAATCATCTCAGATGTTGTTCCAAATTACTTGGCCTCTACTTTATAACACAAGGTAGTGACTCCGATACTTGGTCCTAATGCTCACAGAGAACGGCTGGCTCCTTGGGAGAGTGCTATCCCATTTGTTAATAGCAAACACAAGACCATGCTATGAAAAATAAAAATCTCTGCCTCTTAATGGTGTTCTTATATTTAGTTTAAAGAGGGTGAAGCACGTTGTTCAATGTGTGTACATATAAGCATTAGTAGTCACTGTCTGGAAGAACACTCTGTAATGTTTATTTTGGGTTTTATAGACTGCAAGCCATACACAGGGTCAGTACAGAAATCCTCAAGTATGCTTAGTTTTAGAAAACAAAAACAAAACCCTTCAATATGCTCAAGGGTTTATTTTCCAGAAAACATGAACATAATATGGACATGGAAGATTAGAAGTAAAAATCAGAAGTAAAAAAAGTAAAAACATCTTTAATGGTACAAAAGAAAAGCTAGAACTTGAAAATACAGCTACAGACTCAAAATGCAATGCAGAGAGACAAGAGATAGAAAAAACAATGAACTGGCAGAGGGGCTCAAGTGGTAGAGTGCCTGCACAGCAAGTGTGAGGTCCTGAGTTCAAACCCAAAAAAAAAAAAAAAGAGTTCAAACCCAAAAAAAAAAAAAAAAAAAAAAGTGAAGAGCAGAGTGTCCTCTGTGGGAAGACATCAAGCCATCTGGCATTTTGTGTAATTTATCTGTGTGTGTGTGGTGTAGTTCTGGGGTTTGAACTCAGCCTCATGTTTTCTAGGCAGGTTCTCTACCAATTGAGCCACTTCACCAACTCTTTTATTTTGTGTTGGGTATTTTTGAGGTAGGGTCTCAGGAACTATGTGCCCAGGCTGGCTTCAAACCACAATCCTCCTGATCTTGATCCGTGCCTCCTGAGCAGCAAGGATTATAGGTGTGAGCCACTGGCACCCAGTGCATGTTTGTAATTTGAATCTTAGAA